CATAATGCCGGGATGTTCTTTGATCGCGGCTTTGAACTTGTGAATAAAGTAAGATTCTTTCTGTTCGCGATCTCGGTTGCTTTTGAAACCAGACTGTAAAAATGTGACTTGGAGCTTATCAAATGAGTGTCTTGGATCGCTAACATGCTTGGAAACGGGAAGTGTGGGGTTTCATTTTGCATGCGAACTGTGGTTATTAAACCGCAATCGGAAAGGTGTCTCCGTCTGGCCCACGTACTGCGCGCCGCAAGTGCTACACTGTAAAAGGTATACTACATTACAGGTGTCGCAATTTAAGTTGCCATAAATTTTGTAGGCGAAGTTGGAGTTTGTACTCTCTATGGGGTTTCTCCGTGTTACGTGTGGGCAGACCCCACATCCCGACTTTCCGCATGGCCGACTCCCAGTGCTCTCAGTGGCAGTTATCTTGGACCTGACTAAGGAATCCTTAATGTTGCGCGAGCGTCTGTACACCACACGGGGGACGGTAGAAATAACTTTTGCGAGGCGTCCACTTTGTTGCAAAATATTAAAATGTTTCCTTATTATGGCGCTAACATTCGGAGACTCATTGCTGTAGGTCAGCACGAGGCTGGCCTGTCGCCTTGTCTCCGCCTGGGGACCGCTGTCACCTAACAAGAGGTCGCGATCGAGGGCGTGCGCCTTACTAATTGCGTCATTTATGATTTTTTCTGGGTACTTCTGTTCTTTTAGAACCTCGCGTAGTTGATTGGCGTTGGAGTCAAAATCATCGTTATTAGAACATGCACGTTTAAACCTGTGAGCCTGGCTGTACGGAATACTGGTTCGGCAAGGTCGAGGATGGCAACTGTCGAAGTGCAAATATCTCTGGCTGTCCATGGGCTTTCGATACAGTTGATTGACCAGAGTTGTGTCCTTAATTATTACTCTAACGTCTAAGAAATTAATGTCAGTTTTCGAGTAACTGTGTGTGAAGCGAATGGAAGGGTGCGAGGAGTTAAAATCTGCGATGAACTTGAGAAGCTCATTTTCTGAGTGTGACCAGATAAAAATACGTCATCCACATACCTTCTGTAGAACATCGGTTGGAGCGGACAGGATGCGAGGAAAGTTAATTCTAGGTCGCCCTTAAATATATTTGCAAAGTTCGGGGCCATTTTCGTGCCCATTGCGGTCCCTCTAGTTTGAAGAAAAAATTTGCCGTCGAATTCAAAACTGTTTAACTCAAGAACCAGGCTCGAAAGGACAGCCAGAACTTGGCTCTCCGGGAAGTCATCCCCCTGTGGCCCTCATATGCCCTCACAAGCGCCTCTATGCCGTCTTTATGGGGAATATTGGTGTACAGAGCAGTTACATCCATTGTCACCAGAAAAGGATCCTTGGGTATTTGAATTTTAGAAATATCTTTGAGAAAGTGAGTCGTGTCCCGAATGTACGACGGGAAGGTAGGCGGGATGTGTCTGATGAGGTTATCAACGAAACTAGAAATTGGCTCGGTGACCGTTCCTGAGCCCGATATAATGGGGCGGCCGGGATTCCCTACTTTGTGGATTTTAGGTAACATATAGAAGCGCCCTGGTACAGCGTGTTTGGCAGTTAGCCCCCGTAAAGTTTTGCCGGTAATTAAACCTTGTTTCTCTAGCTCGATAAGTCGCTGGTGTATAAGTTTGGCATGCTGGCTAGTTGGGTCGTTGTTTAGATGACGGTAGAATTTGGCATCGTTTAGTTGTCTATAGCCTTCTTTTATGTAATCCGAGATGTTGAGTATAACCATGGCACCCCCCTTGTCAGCTGGTTTGATTATAATATCTTTCCTGTTACCTAGATCCTTAAGCGCCCTGCGTTCGGGAAGCGAGAGGTTATAGTGATGCGGTTGCTGATTTCTATAAGCTGACACAATGTCCTTTTGGACCGCCTGGATATAAAGGTCTAGATGCTTTTTATTTTTATTTATTTATTTATTTAGGAATACTGCAGGCCAATTGCGGCCCAAGCAGGATTGGGGGTTACAAAAGTGGAGTATAAAAAAAAACGCAACACCAGGTAATCCGTAAAATGGGAGAGGGGAACAGGGGAAAATTATGCAAAAATTGTAATAAAGCACATGTAATAGCTCACAACAAAGTTGGGAGGGGTGGCGGTAGTGGGGAACAGGAAAGTAAAACACAATGCAAAGAGTTACACATCAAACAAACGCTCAATCGACTCCAAAACATTGTCAGATAGAAATATGTGATGAGGTAGGTTGTTCCATTCTGTTATGGTTCTGGGAAATAAGGAGTATTATAATGCATTTGTTCGAGCGAATACTGGAGTTATTTTATGCGGATGGCCATGCCTTGTGCGCCTAGTCGATGATGGGTGAAGAAAGGACGACGATTCAAGCCGGAGTTTTTAAACCAGAGTTGATAAAGAAATTTTAGTCTAGCTAGCTCCTTCGTGATTCAAGAGAGATGATGTTGTTACTTTGAATTAAGGCAGCAGGTGAGTCATGCGGGTGGTAGCGATTAAATATAAAACGAGCTGCTTGCTTTTGAACATCTTCCAGTATCTTGATATCTTTTTTTGTGAATGGATCCCAGACTGTACAGGCGTATTCTAACTTCGTTCTTATCAATGTGTTATAGGCTAAAAGTTTCACATGAGAAGGCACGTGCTTAAGCTTGTGCCTTATCATACCTAGTTTTCGACGGGCAGCTGCACAAACGTGTTCAATGTGTGAGGACCAAGATAAGTTGCTAGAAATTGTTATACCAAGTTATTTAAAGCTCATCGTCCGAGAGATGTAGTTATCACCAATAAAGTATTCATACTGATGAGAGGACTTTTTGTTAGTGATGCGCATGTACAAGGACTTTTCTTGGTTAAGCTTCATCTCCCAACGATCGCACCAGCTAGATACTGCATTAAGACTTTCGTTCAGAACAACTTGGTCCCTGGTAGAGTTAATATCCTTGAAAAATAGACAGTCGCCCGCAAATAAACGAATACTCACGCTTTTATCTATACAAAAAGTGAGGTCAGTAATAAAAATTGAAAAAAGAAGAGGGCCAAGGAAATCCCTTGCGGAACACCCGAAATTACAGGAAGAGGATCAGAATGGTGACCGACTACATCGACGAATTGTTTTCGCATTTGAAGATAAGATGAAATCCATTGAACAACTGTGCTGGGAAGGCCAATCTCATTAAGTTTGTATATAAGACCGGAATGAGGAACTCTGTCGAAGGCTTTGCTAAAATCAAGGAAGATGACGTCGACTTGACCAGGCCTATCTACTGTAGAAGCAAAAGAATGAATAGTTGAAATGAGCTGAGTAGTAGTAGAAAGTCCCTTTCGCAACCCATGCTAAAAAGGCGAGATTATTTCATGTTTATCGAGGAAATCATTGATGTAATTAGAAATTATATGTTCCAGTAGTTTACACGAAGAGCTGGTGAGTGAAATTGGGCGATAATTTGTTAACATTGTACGGTCTCCTTTTTTAAAAACGGGTACAACCCGAGCAATTCGCCAATCTGAGGGAACAACGCCACATGAAAATGACATCTGAACGATAACAACAAGGAATCTAGAAATCCACTCAGCGTAACGACGAAGAAATGCATTTGGTATATCATCAGGACCATTTGACGATTTAGGTTTGAGGTTAAGTAACATAGAAAAGATACCTTCAAACGTGATGAACTCTGAGCTTATTTCAGTTTCTTCGTTAAAGGAGGAATGTCTAGTGTAAGACTTCGAGAACACTGACTGAAAGAAAAGTTTAAACTCCGTAGCTATTTGTTGTTTGTCGTGAACCAACATTTCCCCAATTTTGACATAATCGACAGTCTTTTGTTGATTTGAGCTGAGGTGTCGCCAGAACTTTGCTGGATCTGTCTTAAGGAATCGTGTGAGTGTATTGGAATGATAGAACTGTTTACTTGTGCGAATTTTAGCTGCTAGTGCTCGCTTTAGGCAGGGGAGGGAGGAACTGTGAACTCGACGTCTACGGTTTCTTTTTACTTTCCGTACTAGATGAATTATTTCGCGTGTCATCCACGGGTTTTTGCGGCGCACATATTTACTTTTATTAGGAATAATGTTTCGAAGACAAAAATGACAGATTGATTTAAATTTATTCCATAAATAATTAACGTCGTTCCCAGAAAATGTATCTAAGGATAACTCAAGGTAATCTAGAACAGATTCGTCACTCGCCCTAGAAAAGTCTTTAATAGTTTTGCGCTTCTGGGCCACAAAATCATCCGAGCTGCCCATGAGGCAGGAGAAAGAAACAAGCTTATGGTCGGACAACCCATCCTCCACTGATACCTGTACCTCAGACAGAGACCTACTATAAAGGACAAGATCTAAAATGGACGATGAATCACCCTGGCCCTGGACGCGCGTGGGTACATTAACTGCTTGAGAAAGGTCACAGGCAAACGCAATGTCAAAAATGGTTTGGTCAGAGGGTGAGGAGGATGATAAATTATGCCAATCAACGTTAGGTAAATTAAAATCACCAACCAATAGCATGCAGCTCTTGGAATACTTGAGTATATAATCATAAAGCCTAGCCAGGTATTCATTGCTTGATGAGGGTGAGCGATATACAGCGATCAAGATGAATGACTCCTTCCCGTAAGTAACACGAAGACACAGGCTTTCGTGATCAGTCATTTGATCTAGCACTACAGCAGATAGGCTGCTTTTTAAAATGACGGCTACACCGCCACCACGGGAGTGTCTATCTCTTCGGTATATATTGTATGAACCAGCAACTATATCACGGTCAGCGATTTCATCGCTTAGCCACGTCTCAGTTAATACTGTCACGTGAGGATCATGACAAAGCATTACACTTTCAAGCTCCACAGTTTTGTTTATTATGCTTCTGGCATAATGTTTAGAAGGCGCAAGTACTGTGGTGGAGAGTGCCGGTGATGTCACGTGCTTTGAGGTTGGTGGTGCGTAGATGAAATTTTAACCCTTGCATTCTTGCTGTCATCCCATATAAACGTGTCGTCGTCAATGCGAAGTTTATCGTTAACCATAAAGACACGCCTTCCATCAGCTTTATCGCTCCTGGCACTCTCCCACAGCAGCTTACGCTTTCGAAGTGTGCAACGTGAATAGTCATTTTCAATAAAAATGTGTTTGCCTTTCAGTTTTTTAGCGTTCTTCAGTATGGCCTGCTTTTCGTTATAATCTTGGAGGTACAAAATGACCGGAAGATTAGCTTTCTTTCGACCGAGTCGGTGAATTCTACCAATCGAACAACATTTCACATCAAGTTTCTTCTCAAACAGTTCCCCGACTACGTGATCTTTAAGCTGAAGGTCAGTTTCATTATTTGGCTCTGGTAATCCATAAACCACTAAATTAGAGCGACGACTACGGTCCTCAAGATCAACAAGTTTCTCAGTTTGTTGTGCTGTGTTAGTCTGGAGCAAACTTAACGTGCTGTCGAGACCATCTATTTTGGATGTAGAAGAGCTCATGAGTTGCAGGAGTCTTTCCAGCTCAGTTACTTTAGTACGAAGGGAGGCTATTACTGCATCGGAAGCAACTAGCTGTGACTTCAGGTCGTGAATACCATTAAGGATCTCAGCTTGTCCTTTGAGAATGTTATCTAACAAGCAATCACTGTCGGGGCCAGGGTTTGATTCAACGTCCCCACAAAGCAAGAGCCGACAAACAAGAAAGCAATCATACATGATACACATACAAGTGCCTGGACACTTGTATGTGTATCATGTCTTGTTGTATGTGTATCATGCTTATCTCTGTTGGGACCGGGAGTCCAGCCGGACGATGTCGAAGGCAGAGGAGATGCGCCCTGTTGGGGCCTATCAAAGAAGAATTCCTGAAGCCGAAGGCTTCGTGCGAAATTATCGAGATTATGGAGGAGAGTGAATTCGTCGTACTGGCCCGTGGTCGGGAAGAAGTTAAGACCCCTTGAGAGGAGCGACTCTTCGTCGAGGGTTAGCTTTACTCTGGATAAATTAACTATGTTCCTATGATCAAGAGAGTTATTCTGCATGTCCCGTCCACACACCGTCGTCGGGTTGTATTTAATATTATCCCTAGCTAGCTTACTATTTTTTACCTCCTCGATGATCCCACGTTTCTTTTCTTCAAATGACTGTAGTGATGCGGTTTCCTGCGGTGACATTTTGTTGGCGCGAAGCAAATTACTTTCAACCCTTCGAACATTCGTCAAGGTTGTCTGACAGTGATTTTTAACTATTTTTACTAAATCGAGAGAAGCATTCGTAAGCACCGCATTCTATTTTTTTAAATCGCTATCGGAGAGATGTGTCATACTAGGTGGAAGAACAATTTGTAAACTCCTGGGAGCAATGCGCGCGTCAAGGCAAGTCTCAAGGTATGCGGCATGTGACTCGTGGCGTATCCTTTTGTCCGCTAACTTCCAAAGTCCTAAAAAAATGTGGTGAAAATTTGACAGGTATCTCACTCAAAACAGGAGGAGCTTTTGATGTACCAGGCGGAGACCGTCAGTCCTGTTGCGAGCTGAGAGCCGCGCTGTAAGTCTTGCGCAGATTGTAGCACGAATGAGGGGCAGTTGCAGCAATTGGTTGCTGCGTGTGAACACGGGCGGCCCGTGTTGCTGGTGTTGCGACGTCAAGTTTCTGGTCGAAATCGCTCCATTTGAAGCGGGCCTGAGTGGCGTGAGTGCAATGAGTGCGTGAGGGCCGTGAGGGCGGTGAGTGCGTGAGGGGTGTGAGGGCCATGAGTGCGTGAGGGGCGTGAGGGCGGTGAGTGGCGTTAGAGCCATGTGTGTGTGAGGGGTGTGAGGCGTGTAAGTGCATGAGGAGCGTGAGGGCGGTGAGTGGCGTGAGGGCTATGAGTGCGTGAGGGCAGTGAGGGCGGTGAGTGCATGAGGGGGGTGAGGGCCATGAGTGAGTGAGGGCGGTGAGTGGCGTGAGGGCCATGAGTGCGTGAGGGGCGTGAGGGCCATGAGGGCCGTGAATGCGGTGAGTGCGGGAAGGCTATGAGTGCGTGAGGGGCGTGACGGACGCGAGGTTTAGTGAGGGTGAGTGAAGGGCTGAAGGTGAGTGTGACTGTGAGGATGAGGGTGAGTGAGGGGCTGAAGTTGAGTGTAGCTGTGAGGGTGAGGGTGAGTGAGGGGCTTGGGTGAGTGTGGCTGTGACGGTGAGTGAGGGCGACCTAAAATGCCGACCTCTGCTGGTGGCACGCAAGACGGCCCCCGCAGGCCTGACTGGCGTCAATGCTTGAACTGTGGACGACGAGTCCACCTTGCTCGATCTTGCCGGAATCCGTGCTTTCCACGTCAGGAAAACCCTCCACGCGTGCCCGACAGGGCGGCGTCCCGTGTGGTCCACGAAGATCCCCTGGCTACAACATTGATGTGCCAATCGCTGACCCCACCCCTCACTGTCTACCCGACTCGAATCGGAAAAGGTACCGATGCTATTATAGACACCGCAGCTGGGGTTTCCGTCATCGATGCTAACCCAAGCAGCACCAGAAAGTGAATTTCGATCGGCCGACGGTTGGCCAGTGTCTGGACAGCTTGGCCACTTTAAGTGCTTGGCCACCGGAGACATAAACAAGGCCGGCAAGAGTCCGGCCACAAACTAGTTGTTTTTAGCTTGTCCGCCGGAGACATAAACACTGCCGGCAAGCGCCTGGCCAGAAGTGCTCATTTTCAGCCTGGCCGCCGGAGACATAAACACGGCCGGCAAGTGTTTGTCCAGCAGTGCTGATTTTCAGCGCGGCCGCCGGGGACATAAACACGGCCGGCAAGTGTTTGGCCAGAAGTGCTGATTTTCAGTTTGGCCGCCGGAGACATAAACACTGCCGGCAAGCGCCTGGCCAGAAGTGCTCATTTTCAGCCTGGCCGCCAGAGACATAAACACGGCCGGCAAGTGTTTGGCCAGCAGTGCTGATTTTCAGCGCGGCCGCCGGGGACATAAACACGGCCGGCAAGTGTTTGGCCAGAAGTGCTGATTTTCAGTTTGGCCGCCGGAGACATAAACACGGCCGGCAAGTGGTTGGCCAGTAGTGCTGATTTTCAGCTTGGCCGCCGGAAACATAAACATGGCCGGCGAGTGTTTGGCCAGCAGTGCTGATTTTCAGCTTGGCTACCGGAGACATAAACACGGCCGGCAAGTGTTTGGCCAGTAGTGCTTATTTTCAGCTTGGCCGCCGGAAACATAAACACTGCCGGCAAGCGCCTGGCCAGAAGTGCTCATTTTCAGCCTGGCCGCCAGAGACATAAACACGGCCGGCAAGTGTTTGGCCAGCAGTGCTGATTTTCAGCTTGGCTACCGGAGACATAAACACGGCCGGCAAGTGTTTGGCCAGTAGTGCTTATTTTCAGCTTGGCCGCCGGAGACATAAACACTGCCGGCAAGCGCCTGGCCAGAAGTGCTCATTTTCAGCCTGGCCGCCAGAGACATAAACACGGCCGGCAAGTGTTTGGCCAGCAGTGCTGATTTTCAGCGCGGCCGCCTGGGACATAAACACGGCCGGCAAGTGTTTGGCCAGAAGTGCTGATTTTCAGTTTGGCCGCCGGAGACATAAACACGGCCGGCAAGTGGTTGGCCAGTAGTGCTGATTTTCAGCTTGGCCGCCGGAAACATAAACATGGCCGGCGAGTGTTTGGCCAGCAGTGCTGATTTTCAGCTTGGCTACCGGAGACATAAACACGGCCGGCAAGTGTTTGGCCAGCAGTGCTTATTTTCAGCTTGGCCGCCGGAAACATAAACAGGGCCGGCGAGTGTTTGGCCAGAAGTGCTGATTTTCAACTTGGCCGCCGGGGACATAAACACGGCCAGCAAGTGTTTGGCCAAAAGTGCTGATTTTCAGTTTCGCCGCAGGAACACCCATAATCTAAACCTTCATCGCGTTGACGAAACTTTGGCATAACGACGGGCAGCGAGAGAAGCATCATGAGCGAGTGGTTGGCAGGATATTAGTGCGTGCATCGCGCGAACACTGTTAGCGCAAGCAAACGATCACCGTTTTATTTAGTTTTTTTTTTCGTTAGACTAGCACTGTCGTGTGATATGTTCATTCGGGACATTACCAGAAGTGGGAAAATATTGTGCCCGTCGTTGTTCTATGAAAATAAAATACGAAAACAGCGCCCACGTCATTTTCGCGCTAACAATACCGCTGTGTCGCTGCGCGGCACTTTTAGCGCGAATACCACATCCGCGATTTTTCGGTTACTGCTCCACATATTTACTTCCCAACTGCACTCGAAGAAAAAAAAGTTGTAGTCGGGTGCATCGGGCGCACATGCTCCCCTTCCCTGGAAGACGCGCCCTCCGTTACCCAGCCAGTGTATACTTGTACACCGACCAGAAGCCCCCTTCTCTACCTTAAAAACCTATAGGTGTATCAATGCACTCAGCTTAGTAAACCGCCACGCTAGCCACGCTTCCCGATCAGCTTGTGCTTGAATCGGATAAGATTGGATATTTCAGGCTTTGTGTTTTGGAAGAGCCTAAACAAGACGTCTCTCATATATTGATTAAACTTAAGCTAGTCTCAGTAATGTTTTATATAGGTGCTAAGATACTGATTTACTGAGCCAACGAAAGCTAACAGCTTCGGTTAAAACCGCAACGGAAACGTTCAAAATTGAACCACACGTAAAAGAAAAAGAAAATGAACATCTCGACCTAGATGTGCAGGACGCTGGTTTTGTTAACAACGTGGTTGTTGGCGGGTGGTGGGCAACGCCGTGACGCTATCGACGCTATCGTGGTTATTGACGCCAGTGATGCTCGGCCGTACTACACAGTTAAAGTTTTTACACCTTTAAGGATGTAAAAGGGGTGTTGTACAAACTACACCCTTTTAACACCCTAAAAACTAGGAATACAACCTCATAATTTTACCGAAAAGGGTGCTGTTTCGTGTTACATCCTACATTTAGTGAAGAATGTGAGAAGGGTGTAGAAGAGGGTGCTAAATAAATAATGTGAAATGGTTTTGGAAAGCTTATATATGGCTCTGTCCATAATGTACAGGTAAGATTTCTGCTTAAAAAGCAACAGTTGTTATACTCCGTTTCACCTTCCGTCCGAGCACAGCGGACGCTAGGAGCCATCCCAGCCAATGCGGCGTTGAGGGAGTGTCATGCGACCTTGAGCTCCTGTGTCGCCCCGCCCCACCGGCAGGTCACGCGACTTTCTCCCGGCGCTGGATCGGCTGGGATGGCTCGTGGCGTCCACTGCGCTCGGACTGAAGGTGAAACGGAGTGTAGCAGTCTAGTTTTTTATAATGTCAGTTGTAATTCATGCAAATAGCTCATAATAAAGTGCCTCTTTTGCATACAATTTTTATCTTTGCAATCAAAATTTTATATTTCAGTTCATATTTCATTTTCTTACAAATCACTCTATGCTCAGAAATTGCAAAGTAGGGTGAATGCTCTATACTAGCATTTTTTACAAATATTTATTGATGGAAGTGTTCAGTAAAAAGATCAGTTAGTCTCGAGTTTAATCTGGCAACATGAAATCAAAATATAGTGAAAATGTTTGACAAATATTCATGAAATGCTGCTAGAACTGTCACATAACCATGTCAACCTGAGTAAAATATTCATTTGAGAATATGGTGACATGCAAAAAACTCACACACATAAAGAGGCAAATCCCATAATAAATCAGTCCGAGACATCCCATACAAAAATGGTCTATGGTCGTCTATGGGA